GTTTTGGGTAGGCTAATAAAGGGGTAACAAGCAGATATACAAGCAAATTATTTATAATGTAATTATTTTAAAACTAACAGGTACCTATTATGTTAATATATTCCAGGCAAAAATTGTACGTCTGTTGTAGGCTATATAAAAGTTATCATCACATTTCTGGCAAAATATGTTCTTGTGCAATTTTACAGGGTAATTTTGACATCTGTGGGTTGAAAATGAAACGTGTCTGGCTGTATGTAAGCACAGTATGATAAAAAATGAATTTATTGGCTTTTCTTACTAGATTAATTAATGTTAAATCAACACAGATGCCAAAATTAAATGTAAAATTGCACAAGAACATATTTTGCCAGAAATGTGATGATAACTTTTATATACAACAGACGTACAATTTTTGCCTGGAATATATTAACATAATAGGTACCTGTTAAAATAATTACATTATAAATAATTTGCTTGCATAGCTTGTTACCCCTTTATTACCTTATACCTACACGAAGGTAGGCTACACTATAATTACAGAAACGTACACCGTAATTTCAGTTTACTTACGAAGTTATTTGCAGGTTGTATACTATCTGCTTGTTACCCCTTTATTACCCCAAACTTAACATATTGTTCCCCTATACCTACACGGAAGTACGCTATAATTACAGAAATGTACACCGTAATTTCGGTTTACTTACGCAGTTGTTTGCGGGTCGTAAAATAAAGCGTTACCAACTTTTGTGTAAAAATTGCAGAAAAAACAAGCACCAGAGAAATATCAAAATTAGTGTATTTTTATGATCACCCCAAACGTATAAAATTAATATAGAAATACTGTAGCCTATATAACTAGGCTATAGCTTAGATCATGGGAAACACAGTATTTGTATCATTAATATTATTATTTTTGTTTACTGTAGGCTACTATGTCCCATTAATTATCATTTACCAGAGTCTCTCAGCTGGACCTCGATTTCCCCAAAAATTCCTGAAATCCGTCTCACCTTCCCACAGGACACACCGGAGCAGTGCACGCGGCTCTCCAGCCGCTCGAACACCGAGAGAAGCGCGTCTTCTGTGAGGAACTCTTCGCCCGGAGACACCAGATCCACAACGCGCGCGAAAATATCATATTTACCGCCACGCGCTCCTGTACACAGACTGAGGCAGGTCACACAGACAAGCACAACACCGCTAGTCTCCATTATCTGTGTGTTTTCCCGAAACCTATTGTGGTGCACGACTGTCCTGAGTGTCCTCACACACACACACACACACACACATACTAGCTTCAGAGATCTTCACACAGGTGCTCATGTCCCTGCTCAGGTAGAAGCTCCGCTCTGAACGCTGATTGGTCAAGAGAAACTCTTCCCTTCACTTGCGCAAAATGATTCAGACAGGACTAATATTTGATATAAAATAATAATAGGATGATAAAATAAATTAACTGTATTATTATACATTTTTTTAAACAAAATGTTATGGAACAGCTAGCTAATGACCACAGTGCTTTTAAGAAAAGTGATTTTAACCAATTTAGCCTATAGCAAATATGTTTGCTGCAATTATACTAAACACTTCAGAGCAACTTTCCTCTATGAAAAGTAAAAAAGCTAAAATTGATAAATTTCGTTGTCTCTGCTATAACTTACGTTACGATGTGTTTTTGGGACACGGATTGCTGGTTTGTTGTATTAATGCCAGTGGATCTGATCGTCTGTTCAACATCTATTGTAAATGTCGCCTCCTGTAGGAAGCATCTGACAATGAATTGAGATGGAAAGCAGGATGCAGAATTGTAATTCGAAGTAAAAGAGGAAGTAGAATTAAAAAGCCTTATTTTGATTCAACTGGATGTTTATGTTGTATGCTTTTTTTTTTAATCGTTCAAAAACTTTGGATGAAAAATCGTGTAGGGCACATCCGAAATTAATGTGCCAGTGTCCCCTGTCACCTAACAAAATATTTTAAAAAATATATATATAAATCAACCATCGAGCCCATGTTCTGCCTGAGGATGCTACAGAAGAAATATAGAGAATTTAACAAGAAGCTATACACATGGTGTTCATAGACCTGGAAAAAGCATACGACTATACCAAGAGACACTGCATCAGGTTAAGACAGTCCCAGAGATATACATTGATATCATCAAAGATATGTACAACGCAGGTTATGGTTATTACCAATGTTGGAGAGACAGAGGAGATGGAGATTGAGGTTGGACTACACCAAGGTTCAACACTCAGCTTACTATTCATAATAATTATGGATGTGATCACGGAAGATATAGAGGAGACACCCTGGGCAATGCTGTTTGCGGATGACGTTGTTATAAGTTATGAGGATAGAGAGGAGGCTGGATATATGGAGTGAAAACTAGAAGGAGCTGGACTGAAGCAAGACTAAACCTACTGGAAGAGAAGAGAGTATAAGATTGAGATAGTATGACGGCACAAAGCACACAAATCTCCAACAAATAGCCTTCAAATACCTGGGAACCACCATCCACCAAGATGGAGGCTGCGGGAAAGAGGTAGAGTTGAGAATAAGCAGGAGGGAGCTGACCAGAGTTAATACGTCATACCAACAAAGTTAAAAACACTCATCTATAGGACAGCTATAAGACGGAAGTCAGACTTGATAGGATCCTGTGAGACGCGGATGCTGAGGCTCTTGGAATAAAGACAGACACAGACTGTCTGTGGCGATATCAAAATAAAATATTTAACTTTTGTTTAGTTTTAGAAAAGCAGTGTATTGCTGTAATTTAATTCATTTATTGAACAACTTATTTTATAAGCCTGTTTCCTAAAATAAAGCAACCCTCACCTGTAAAAACACACTGACAAAGGAGAAGTTTCAGGTTTAAAGTGGTTTATTGGTATTAAAAATAATTATATATTTGCAAACAAGTTGCAGCTTCATGGCGAACAAAGAAAATAGTTCAAAACAAAGATGACAAATAAACACTAAACAGACAGTACAACAGTGTATGGCAATATAAAAGACAAAAACATTTGACACTTTTTAACAATGAGGTCTTCTGGATGCAAATGAAATGAACCCATTCAATTTATTTTACTAAATTACTAAAAATGTAAGGTCCAGTTTTTCTGAAGATATTGTACATGTAATATGTCTGTAAAGATTAAATAAAAGTTACGTTTTTGCTACTTAAATACTGTAAGGAATTCTCCGGAATATTAATAACCGATTTTCATTCAAATCATTAACGTTAATACCTCAAAACACACACATCCATATATTAGCAACAGTACATGAACGGATACAGGGCGTTCGGTACGGTACAGGAAATGACACAAATTATTACATATCTGGGTTAGCTTATTCAATGACATTTTTGATCAATCAACAATAATTCATTAACCTCCCTAATCTTACATATACAGCATTGGTGATTCATTTGAGCTATGACTTTTCCTCAGTAAAGATGAATGGTGCATGTTAAAGTGCCCCTATATGCTTTTTTGGGATATTACCTTTCATGCAGCGCGTAATAATAGAGATGTTTGTGAATGTAAAATATCTGCAAAGTTTTAAAGATCAAAGTGCACGACAAATAAACGTATCGTCTCCTAAAGAAAGAGTTGATTCTGAATCGATGAAACGAGTCGTCAGTAATTCCAGTCTCACTTCCTGTTACATGCGTAACACATTAGCATAATGCCAGCCTGTGATCTTCGTTGGCTGCCGGCGATCAACGTCTACTTTGACCCTCAAACACTGTAGTTGCAGCTGAGACTGGAAGAGTTTGGTTCGTGTTGTCGGCATGTTGAGAAGACGCTGTTTTCTGTGCTGGGAATCCACTTAACTGCTCTTCAAAAGCATGAGACTCGTGCTGGAAATGATGCGGACAAACCGACGCCATCGTTACTGTTCGCATCACTGTGTATCAAGTGCTGAGGAAGATCCAGACTCAGATATGGTAATGAGCGTTTTGTTTCTGATACACACTGTAAGCGGTCGACCAATCACAACAGACTGGGCCGTCTGACCAATCAGAGCAGAGTAGCTCGCAGCAAGGAGGGGTTTAGAGAGACCGAATCTTCAAACGAACCGTTTTCAGACTCTTCGAGAAATGAGGTGATGTGCCATCTATTTTATGAGGAAATTAAACCTTTGATGCATTTTTTTTACCTTTGATGCCTGTAAACCTATTGTAGGAGGACACCTCTAAAACTAAATTAGGAACCTTAAAAATAGCATAATAGGGGCAATTTAAACACCATTCATCCATAATATTATTTATCAGTCCGAGTGAATCACATGTATTATTCAGTGTAAAGAAGGATATAGTAATTTATGTAACTCTTTATACATCTTAACTCATACATATGTCAAAAGATGAATTAGAGCAAAAACACTAAGTCTCAAAGTAGACAGATACAGGGGAAACTCGAAAAATTTGAATATCGTGCAAAAGTTCATTTATTTCAGTAATTCAACTTAAAAGGCGAAACTAATATAGACTCATTACATGCAAAGTGAGATATTTCAAGCCTTTATTTGTTATAATTTTGATGATTATGGCTTATAGCTTATGAAAACCTTTTCTTTTAGGGTTTTCATAAGCTGTAAGCCATAATCATCACAATTATAACACATTAGGCTTGAAATATCTCACTTTGCATGTAATGAGTCTATATTAGTTTCACCTTTTAAGTTGAATTACTGAAATAAATGAACTTTTGCATGATATTAATTTTTCGAGTTTCACCAGTAGATAGCTCTTCGTGACGATTAAATCAGTGTTTACCAACTCCAAATTTGCAGCAAGGATCAAACAGGACCAGAGTTGGGAAACACGGCTTAAAGTGCATAGAACAGAACAGATCTGGTACGTTTGTAACTAGGTTTGTACTGAATTGGCTGCACCATTAAAGTGGTATTCCTGCTGTACCTGGAACAACACTATCGTTTTTAGTGTTGAAATTTGGCATGCATACGTAAGGATCGCTTTTGTGCTGAAGAGCCAGTTATTCACATGTTCTTTCTTAAAATGTAAATGCATGCAAACAGAAATATCATACATGGTCCTGGTCGGAGGCTTTTGTAAATATTTCAATGGCACTGGTGCAACCGGCTCCATATAAAACAACAGAAAACTAATTGTCATCTATATTGACCACTAAAGCTTACAAATTATTTGTCCTGATCAGAGCGGTGAAACGAAATTCTAATTTTGAAACCCTGAGATGTGTTTTCATGAAAGAACCTCATGAATGTCGGAAGATCCTCTTCTGGCTTCACTGCTGTACATGAGCACACAATCTTCGGCCTGCAGAAAAAAAAAACCTGCATTAATATCTTCTCGGACTTAAACTCCTGGATCAAATTTTGATGAACACCACTAAAAGGTGATCCACTTTATTGAGCCTGAAAAAACTGAGTTTACTCAAACGAAGCCCAAGCTTACCCGAGGAGCCACTGAAACCGGTTTGGTTCAACAGGCTCCGGTAGTTCCGGTGACCCTGAGATGACGTTCTCTCTTCTGCTAGAGCCATTATAGTTCATCTGACCTAGAGATTATAAAATACAAGACTTTAGAAACCTTTAGCATTAAGCTGAGCTCGTGCTGACTTCGTGATTATTCACCGTTTTATGTTTCACAATTCATAAGCTTTTATGGCACTGAATTTTAAAGCAGTTTATCTGCATTACAAATGTAGCTTCAAAAATGTATTAAAACGTTTATTAAAGGAAAATGTGTTATTTTGAAGAATGTGTTTTTACTTAGTCCACACAATGAAAGTCAATGGGGTCCAATTTTATTTTGCAGCCCATTGACTTCATTGCAGGGACAAACTAATAATTCAGTTCTGTAGAAAAAAGGAAAGTTTTGAAACAACATGAGGGTGAGTAAACGATGATAGAATTGTAATTTTTAGGTGAAAATACAGTAGTTTTAAACATTTTTAACTTACCATTTAACTCTTTGTGTGCCGTTCCTGAGCAGATACACCATAGAAACACATTAAAAACTATCAGCGCAAATACAGCTGCAGTTACTGCCAAATCATGCCGTCTAGATTCGTCACTGCTATTAGCGCCTTTTTCATCTGTAGGAAAACATCAGTCTTTTTACAGTTTTTATGAATTCATAACAACATGCAATGACAAAACAAATCTCCAAATTTAATTTGAGAAAATCTGACTGAGCTACAATCACAAATACAGGAGAAGAGGTCAAAATGATACATCTGCAAGTTATACACTATCATATTGTCACGGTGGGTTGTGGAGAATGGAAGAGAGGATTCAAGCGCAGAGTGAATGATGAGGTTTTAATAAAGAAAACATGAAATAAACAAACCAACAAAAGAATCCAATGATTTCCGAACTAAATCCAACACAGACATGGCAAAACAGGACCGGTACAGAACTCCACCCAACTAACACCAAAACAATAAACAACGAACGAGCACAGGACAGCAAACACAGGAAGACTAAATAGGGAGTCAAACAAGGAGGGTAACGAGACAGACAGGTGGAGCAAATAAACCAATAATCAGATAACAAGAGGGAGGGGTCAACAATGACGAGAGCACATGGCTCAACACAACAAACACCCATGTGCAACACAAGACCGGACAGACATGTGACACATATTTACCCCATTGTATTATAAGTGTCTGTGTCTGACTGCTGTGAGAGACGTAACACTCATAACTCTCTTCTTCATCTCTGTGAATCTCCACACTGATTCTCATCTGGAAGCTCTCGTCATCATTCGGTCGGACTCCAGTAGAGCTGAAGGCCTCGAGGTTTCTGTCGTTCAGTGTGATCTTCATCTCGATGTGTTTGGGGTAGAAGCCAGTGGCCAGACAGCTCAGATTCAGCTTGCTTCGGTCATGAGGAGCTTCAGAGGCAAACATGTGAACATCTGGTGCATCTGCAATAACAAACACCAGGAATAAAATAATCCATATTATTTCTACACACAAGAAAAATCAAACACAAACCACTATAAAAGTAGTCCATATAACTCATGCACTTTATGTGAGAAAGTTATATTTTTAATTCACTAATTCCATTTGCTGTCTAATCAAGAGACATTTTAAATGTTTGAAAATGAAAAAGAAAAACACTGAAGTCATGAGAACAACACATACTGCTTATCGAATCATTAAATGTGGAGATCCAGTCCATGCAGGTCTTGAGGAATGACTGGAGATACTGATTATGTAATTTGTTAGAGTCCCACTTCCTTTTGGTTTCTATTGCCTTTGGATTTTTCTCCATCCACTGCATTGTGTCAGAATTAAAGGCAATAAAATCCTCTCCATCATATCTGTACTCATCAAACGCTTTTACATTCATCCCTGCGTCCACCTCACAGCCGACTCTCCTCTGCAGTGTATGGAGGCCTACAAATATATGATAACATTGGTGATAAACGAAACAATCAATATTTATTTTAATAAATAACTCTTCGAAAATGAATGTGTATATGTTTTTACTGAACTCAGCAGACTCACCGTCACATTTGGATCTTGTGCAGTTTGACAGAGTATAAACTACATGCATAAACCAGTCTTTAGGATCATCTGGTTCTTCAGTGTCTCTCCAGATCTCTGACTTCTGACGGTCTCTTTTCCAGGTTTGTTCTTCATTACTGTAGTGAGAGATGCGTCGGTCATCATACAGACCCACGGCACTGAACTGAGGCCCGGAGAATCCCGCAGGTTTGGAGAGAGCGCTGTAAACGTACTGGAGAACATGTCTCTCTGAAGGAAAATAAATGCAAGACAAGAATACTGTGGAAACACAGCAAAGTGATCACAGTGCAGTCTTTCACACACCACGGACCCCCAAATCTGATTATCCCCAAACCCCCATCCTAAAATCTACAATGCAGCTATATCATTTCATGTAATAAGACCCAAATAATATTATATGTTGTAAAATGTTGTTTGGAAAATATTTAGTTTCTATTGTTAGATCATTGTGGTTTTTTTCCCTACTCACTATAGTAGCCTACTGTACTGTAAGATTTATTGAAATATATATATTATATTTATTTAAATCAAATTTATGTAGGCCTATTTTAATCTATGTATTTAAATCCATTTTTATTTTTTAGATGTATTTATCTATTTTAATCAAATGTATTTATTAGTTATTTAAATCAAAGTGTATTTGTTTATTTTAATAGCCTATATTTTATTTTAATCAAATCTGCTAATTATTTAATTCAATTTGTTTATTTTTAATCTTTTTTTCAAATGTAGTTTTTTGTAGTTTATCTTGTTTTTATTAATATTTATTTTTTCATTTTTTACACAGTTTTTCTCATTGCTTTTCCACAGATCTCCTAGCGCTCTCTTGTGGCCCCCAGTTTGAAAACCCCTAGTCAACCTGTCTAATGTTATTAATGAAAAATACACGAGATGGTTCTGAATAACTATATAAATCAACTATATAAACTTCCACATTTCTTAATACAAAACTGCACAAATCGTGGAAAATGCAATAGCATTTCTGTGAAACTTTAGATTCACAGTTTTGTCAATGGTTTGTGGGTGCCCGCTTCCACAAGCTGAACTGTCCCACGCATAGGTCGCGGAAACATGATGCATTGATGCAAATGCCATCGAGTTTTTAGAATTCCCACGTCGCCCATATAATGTCGCCGCATATTTGTCCCGGGACAGTCGATCCACTGATACACCGAGAAGGCCATGGGATCCCCTCTGTTACGATCGCATTCCGCAGGAGGGGGACCAGCAGTAACTGCGCCAGGACAACCGGAATTACATGCAGCTTTAAATAACCACCCAATTGAAATAACGGGAGAAGCACACACACACACACACACACACACGCCTAACTTCAAGTTCTTCAAAGTGTGGGCGGCAAGGGCAGTGACCCCGATAGAAGAAGGAATCTTTGCAATCTTATTTTGAAGGCAGGATATCAATCTAATAACACCTCTGACCTCATGTTAATTCTGTGCTGATGATGTCCATGTTTTAATGCCATTATGACATCAGCTTTTAGCGCTCGTGCTAGAGTTTCAGACATTGATGAGGAGACACATTATTTTGGCATCACGTGCAGACAAGAGAGAAGGAAAGCTGCAAATGCACAAAACTTAACTATTATGCAAAAAACAAACAAACAAAAAACCTCGCTGAACTCAGGATTAGGCTAAAATATTCTCTCACATCTCCCTTTAATCTAAAATAACTCTCCCTGTCGCATCACTTTAAAACGTAACTTAATTTAACACGAACTTTAATACAAATTCAACCGCCAAAAACAAAAATTACAAAATATACAATATAGGCCTAGGCCTACATTAATATATATATTAAAATAAATATTTACTTTGCTTACCGCACTGAACATTGGTTATGCGCAAAGAAATGTAACAGAGACAAAAAGTCGTATTGATTCCATTTTGTTTCCCCAGGAAAAGTAAAAGCATCAGCATCATGTTCTAGAGCCATAAAGCACCTGTGAACGCGCCCGTCGCGCCGCTGCCTCGCGAGCTCAGACACAGCGATGACAGGATCATCAGTGAGTTCCTTTCGTTTGAAACGCAGAGCCAGAATCTCATTCTTCTTCTGGGATTTTGCCAGTTTAATAATGCATTATTACCGCCACTAACTGGACTGGAGTGTCCAGACAGAGGACTGGACTGTGGATGTTTCAGCATCAGCTGTTACTCACACACGTGATCTTGGCCAACCCTCGCACACGTGATCATGTCCCTGCTCAGGTAGAAGCTCCTGTTGTCCTCCACACTGAACGCTGATTGGTCAAGAGAAACTCTTCCCTTCACCTGCACAAAGGGCTTCAGAGTCAGACAGTGCTTTCCTGCCATAAATATACCAAAACAACCTTTTTTTTAAATGTATTTTTATGCGATAATGATCTGATGCTTTTTGTTTGTTTATGTAGGCCTATGTTTTAGTAGAACAGATCATCAGTAAAAGTGTACGATAGCATATAAAGGGCAGATGAGCATTAAACATATTTTTCTCACTTCATCTGTCCCACTTTAGCAAAAATTCATCCTAATATTTGAATAGTCCTTTCAAAACCTTTCGCTCACCGTTCAACATCTAATGTACATGTAAATGTCGCCCACTGTAGGCTGTGGAAGTATCTGACAGTGAGTTGAGATGACAAAATAGTGGCAGAATTACAACTCGAAATAGAATTAAGATGGAATGAAATTAAAATAATTTTTATTGTATTTTTAATGATACGTTTCATATTCCCAATGTTTATCCATAAAAATAAACATTGGGAATCTGATATCCAAATGCAGAATGGTAAGCATTAATAGTAGACATTAAAGTCTGTTGTGATGAAGGTTAATTGTTCTGACAGTACTGAGAGTAATCATATACATATCAGGGAATAACTATGTGTGCATTCTTTTGGGGCCACCATTTAATCAAATTATCAGATTTGTTTGCATATGCCTTTTTGGAAGAAAAACCAAAAGACATGTCACCTTTGTCAACTTGCACTTTGTCACACTAAACAAAATAATTTTAAATGATTTGATTTGAACGCACACGTAAAATGACACCAAATGCAAATTCAAGGCTTGAAGAGGAAAGCTCATTCACAACACGACTCTCAGGTTTATCAACTTTGGGATGTTGCTTTTACATGATTTCTGATTTAACACACACAAAAAAAGAAGACTCAGAGGTTACAAGCTGACCTTTTACACTAAAAAAGTTATGCAATTTTGCATTATTATTTTTTTCCATTAGATTGATGTTGTAAATGCAGAAATTAAGTTTTATTTTAAGTGGTTTTGTGCAAGATGATAAAAGAGGGAGTCTTTATATTGTTTAATGTCTTGATACGTTGGGTTAACACATTCTGGCTTTTGATTGGGTTGAAGATTTGACTATTTATTACTAATTAGCATGCAATTGGTTGTTATTGAACCCAATGATATCATTTTTGTTACAAGGAAAAGTGTGGATTAAGTAATCTGAGATAACTGTAACAGAGTCTAGATGTAATGCAGCGATTAGATGGCGGCGAGTCATCAACGAGCTAACAAATCTGTTTCTACTGTATGACAATGACTCTTGAGATGAACTTTGAAAAATACCAATTCAGGATTCTGCTTTTGTTGACAATACATATATGACGTTGACACATGGATTGGTTGTATCATTATGTACCTGTAGTCCACTATGCGACTTCTCGTTCTGCCTATTACAGCTCTCAAATCTCATTACACATTTAAACACAACAGGTTTGGTTAGGAGAAGCATCGTTTGGTTTGGTTAGCATCATTTACACCACATCAAACTGGAGTGATGCATGCATCTTGATGCACCACATTTGAAGAGCTTTTTTTGTCCTGTTTGAAGCTTGACAGATGTGGCAACAATGAACTATTGTTAAATGAAAAATAACTAAACAGAAATGTCTTTCTTTGTGTTTTCAATGGAGCATCAAACATGTTTGGAACAACATGAGGGTGAGTACATGACTTTTTTAAATTTTGGGTGGATTATTCCTTTAAACTCACCATTTAACTTTCTCCATTTGTAGACTAAAAACATGATGGATAGAACTTCAACTGTAACTGCAAAAGCACCTGAAACTTAGTTTCTGTACTACAAATAGTGCATTTTCCATCTGTAGAAGCACAATGAACCAATAAACCTAACCATTACAAATAACAAATATTTTTAACCATTTTATACATTCATACATAGTAACATGCAACAGAACTGACAATCTGACTGAGCTGCCATCACAAAGACATGTAGAAGAACATCCAAAAGCTAGAGAGCTGCAACATTTTAACTTCAATTTAACAAAGTAACAATTATCAGAGACACAATCATTTTCAATAAAACGTCAACATCTAAACCTCTGTTAATTCTCAAAAAGAACTTCTGCTGAGATCTTGAAAGAGTTATTGTCTTTTATTTTGATTTCAGGCTGTGTGGCTTTAAGTCAAAATTCAACATTAATTGCAGGTGCACAAGTGATTGATTCAATGTGGTTAACACGTTTACATGTATGGAGGGATTATTGGGTCAGATTGAAAACTAAAAGTCTAAAACTAAAAGTCTTAAACGAAAACCAAAAGTCTAAGTTTGAAACTAAAAGTCTAAGTCGAAAATGAATTTGGTATTTAGGATTGGGCATTTGGTATTTAGGATAGGGCATTTGGTATTTAGGATTGGGGATTTGGTCATTTAGCCATTTAGGATTTAGGATTGGGCATTTAGGGATTTAGGATTGGGCATTTAATCATTTAGCCATTTAGGATTGGGCATTTGAGGATTGAGGATTGAGGAGTGTATGCAAATAAGGAGGCGTGGCCCAAATACTGGAGGCTGGGTTTGAAATGGCTGGTGCAGATGCACCTTATGGACAGCAGAGGGAGCTCCAGTCAGTCCAGTGCTAAGGAGCACACTGTAATGAAACCAAACAAAGCGAGTGAGCAGGTATGGAGCGAGGACTGTACTTTATAATGTGATAACTTCAACTTAATGACAGCGTTGTATAGGGGTACTGGAACGGTACATGTATTCCTATTGAACCGAAACGGTAGCCTACGGGCGTCACGGTTCGGTGCACGAATTTACACGGAGAATACACGGTATAAAAATAAATAAAACTCTAAATAGCGATACATTTCGCTCTATTCGCGTTTGGTGTGAACGCAGCATAATAAACAGGCTGCGACGTCAAGGTTGCAATGTTGGAGTGTGTGCTGCAAAGTTCAAACTGCAAAGTGTGTATATTTGTGTACACTCGCAATAAAATACAACATTGTGCTTTTGTCACACTCTAAAATCTTGTCAAACTGTAACCTACAACTGTCACCCAACCAAAATCACACACACACACACACACACACACACACACACTCTCTCTCTCTCTCTCACACACACACACACACACACACCTAGTTCGTTCGCGCCCACGCCTCCCCCTCTCTCTCTCGCGCGCACACACACACTCCAGCATTGCAATCTTGATATCGCAGCCTGTTTATTATGCTGCGTTCACACCAAACGCGAGTAGAGCGAAATGTAACGCTATTTAGAGTTTTATTTATTTTTATACCGTGTATTCTCCGTGTAAATTCGTGCACCGAACCGTGACGCCCGTAGGCTAACGTTTCGGTTCAATAGGAATACATGTACCGTTCCAGTACCCCTATACAACGCTGTCATTAAGTTGAAGTTATCACATTATAAAGTACAGTCCTCGCTCCAGACCTGCTCACTCGCTCTGTTTGGTTTCATTACAGTGTGCTCCTTAGCACTGGAGCTCCCTCTGCTGTCCATAAGGTGCATCTGCACCAGCCATTTCAAACCCAGCCTCCAGTATTTGGGCCACGCCTCCTTATTTGCATACACTCCTCAATCCTCAATCCTCAAATGCCCAATCCTAAATGGCTAAATTATTAAATGCCCAATCCTAAATCCCTAAATGCCCAATCCTAAATCCTAAATGGCTAAATGACCAAATGCCCAATCCTAAATACCAAATGCCCTATCCTAAATACCAAATGCCCAATCCTAAATACAAAATGCCCAATCCTAAATACAAAATGCCCAATCCTAAATACCAAATTCATCTTTGACTTAGACTTTTAGTTTTCGACTTAGACTTTTAGTTTCAAACTTAGACTTTTGGTTTTCGTTTAAGACTTTTAGTTTTAGACTTTTAGTTTTCCATCTGACCCAATAATCCCTCCATATACATGCAGCCAATAACCCGTTCAAAACCGGGATATTAGCAATAACCCGGTCGCGAACGACCATGTAAACACCGGCAAAAACCAGAATATGCTCATATCCCGGATTTTAAAAACCGGGATATTATACCTGGGGTACCCTTTTCTAACCCGAATTTTTGGTCATGTAAACGCGTATCGGCATATCCCCATAGTGATTTGTGGAACTGCGCATGTTCTATTCGCAAGGAATCCCAAATCGTATAGTATGTTGAAATGAGTGTCCCAAAGACAAAGAGACCCGGATGGTCTACTATATCCGGTCAGAATCCGAAGTGCAGATCGATGCGCACTCTAACGGCTGATATTGCCCACAACCCATCGCGCGTTGGACGAGGATTCGGTTAGAACTACAAACACGAATGAAAAGTGTTCAAAAACTACAGACATGGAGGACGCGCGAGTCCGACGGTTATGTAGAGAGGTTTAGATAAAGGGGTTTGAGTGATTAATTATCAGTATCTAACCTGACGAAAATGTATTTATTCAATGTTGTCCACATTATATTGCATCTGCAGCAGCATTGTGAACTTTTGCAAAGATACGTTTAGCCATTAACTTTTAAATGCATTATTATATTCAAATTCCAAACACATGAGGAGAGTCTCCGCATGAAAGACCCATGACTGGCAGATGAATGTGCGACAACAATTCTCTCCGAAATGGTAAGAAGTTATATTAGATTGAATGGAGGATTTTAACTGTGACGAGATGATTGACAGGGCAGTTTACGGTGATAGGATGCACGCGACAGATCTGTCCATTAAAGATGACGAAGTAGCCTAGTATGTCCCAAAGCTTGCCTACTCTTTTGCTACACACTCAAAAGTATGTACTTTTTCTTCACAAAAAGAGTACATACTTTTAGGGCGTAGTATAAGTAGGCGAATTGGGACGCAGCATTGGTCTTTTGAGTAGAGAAACTTCAAAACATGGCGAGACCAGAGCCCGTCTACATTCTCTGTCTACGCAGCACTTTTGGAGCGAGGTCAGTAACGTTACCAGCATCAAAGCGCAAACAAAGGCGATCACTATCTACCCCGAACTATTCATTATCCGCGTGCTGCTGTTGTTGTTGTCTTTGGATACAGGAAGAAGAATTGGAAATGACGCATAAGGTTGTCCGTGCGTCGCCGTTTACATCAGGATATTGCAATTCCATGTATACAGGAGTAACTCTCTCTGCTCACGCATGTAAACGGGTTATTCCTAATGTTTCAGAAACCCGAACAGTGACCTTAACCCGACCATAACCCGAAAATTGGCTGCATGTAAACGTAGTCACAGATTTAACATCGTTTCGATGGTTGCTTGATCTAAGTAAGGTACAATGGTGTACCTTTTCGCTTTTGTACCTTAGGGTACTGCCCCAGTGAAAGCTATGCACCTTTTTTTTCTGAGAGTGCAATAAGAACCACAGAGAGTAAAGAATATAGCTACAACTCAAAGACACTTGATTTCGAACACATTAAAAACATAAAACATTGATTTCAAAACACTGAATTTATTAGAACAACATACTGTTTATCGATACATTAAACATGGAGATCCAGTTCATGGACTTCTTGAGGTATGACTGGAGGATCAGTCTGCGAAAACTTGATTGTTCCACTTTTTTTTTTGGTTTCTTTTGCCTTTAAATTTTTTCCAACCACTGCACTTTGCTGAAATTAAAAGCAATGAAATCCTCTCCATCATATCAGTACTCATCAAATGCCTTCACATTCATCACTGCATTCACCTCACAGCTGATTCTTATCTGTAGCGTATGGGGGCCTAAAAATCCTTGAGGAAATCATAGAGGCCTAGAGGATTTAGGAAGTAAAATTTAAATGCAATAAAAAAAGCCATAATTCTTCAATTAAAACAGCTCAAAGATCTGGGACTAGGTTTAAGCCTTGTATGTGAAACGGGGGGGTTAGAGTATCAAGCAACAATTAATCTAGAACAGTGCTTCCCAAAGCGGTACTGGTGAGCCGCAGAGGTATTGCAGTGGGGTGTGGCCTCGGCTAAATAAATCAAATTAAAATATTCACAAAGACAGCTAAGCATAAAACACAAAGGTGAGCTTAGACAGTGGCGTAACTATCGGTAAGCAGGGTACGCGGTTGCTTATGGGCCCGGACCAATCAGGGGCCCGCGTGACTGGAAGATATTGATTGACAGCCGGGGCCCCCTATCGCATTTTACTACTTTTATTCTGATCGCATTTTACTTTATCTCGAAATTATTTGAATAAATAATGACAAAAACGTATTTTACTGGTCATTAAATACAACGAACAATGATGGATTTTGGTGTAATTTGTTTCGAATTGAGACTGGGGAATCCCCGGGTGAACATGCGTATTGCGTCACTCAATTTGCCATACTGTCAATTGAGAATGCCCGTGCGCACCATCTGGATCTTAAGGATTTAATCGACAACTTTGCACAGAGGTAAGCAATGCAAGTGAGCATCTTTGTTATGTCTTTGGACCTAAGCCTATGTGTGTGTAGTCATAGCAGTGAGTAATGTGTTATGGTGTGCCGTCACCAGTGTTTTTTATTTTGTTGTGGTGCGCGTAGGCTACTCCTGATTTTGTCAGTCATCGCGTAGGCTACTCCTGATTTTGTCAGTCATCGCGTAGGCTACTCCTGATTTTGTCAGTCATCGCGTAGGCTACTCCTGATTTTGTCAGTCATCGCGTAGGCTACTCCTGATTTTGTCAGTCATCGCGTAGGCTACTCCTGATATTGGCGCCATTCACATATAGCGCCTAAAAACGCGTAGAAAACGCTAGGCGCGCCTCATTCTCCTTTTTCCAAAGCGCTAGGGCGGTTGCGCTCCGGAGGCGTCTGTCGTCGCTAAGCAAACATCAGCTACGTGACCTACGGTGCACTTGCGGCATTCTGAAAAGTTGAGATGTTTTTATCTCGATGCGGCGCGGACGCGCTTGGAAAAAACGAGCACGTCGCACCGCGACCGCGTCTCTTCCATTATGAGCGCGCATACCGCACGCCTACATTTGAAATAACAAACTTGAGTGCGCAAAAGACGCGATATGTGAACAGGCCCTTTGTCAGTCATCTCATCTCTAATATGCGTCATCACGTGCAGTAGTAGGGGGGCCCGCCTTGATAATCCTGCATAAGGGCCCGGTGTTGGCTTGTTACGCCACTGAGCTTAGACAATGATCTACAGCAGGAATAGGCAACGTTGATCCTGGAGTGCCGCTGTCCTGCAGAGTTTAGCTCCAACCCTGATATAAACTCGCCTGCCTTTAGCATTAGTAGTCCTGAAGACATTGATTAGCTTGCTCAGGTGTGTTTGATTAGGGTTGGGGCTAAACTCTGCAGGACAGCGGCACTCCAGGATCGACGTTGCCTATCCCTGATCTACAGTATACATCATCAGACTGAAAAGAGGGCTATAAATACACAGGTGAGGGACATCAAAAACCATGGAAACTAACTCAAAACACAGGAAGTAAGCTCAGGAGGTGAAGACAGAAACAATGGAAACTTTAAAATAAGAGTTCTTAGAACAGAAAACACAGAAAAACCGCGACGTTACTCCAAGGTGGAGCTGGGGGATCTTGTGACTGAGGTGGAGCCGGTAGGACTGAGGTTGATGGTGGAGCAAGAGGGAAACACAGGGGTGAAGGGCCGAGGCGAAGCTGAAGGCCCGGAAGTCCACGGTGGAACCGAGGCAGAGTCATGGGGTCGGAAGGCTGAGGTAGGGTCGGACCATTGAAGCGCTATCTCCGAAGAACACTGTAGAACTGATTGGGCAGGAGAATGTGGTCATGCCAGTGGAGCTGAAGGGCTGAGAAAAGCACGAGGAGCATAAGTATGAGGAAACGTCAGGAAAACTGAGGAAGACCCTGGACTAGTCATTTGAGGAGGAGGGACCAGGACACTGGATGGAATCTAGAAAAAAGTTGATATTGGGCAAAACCAGTGGAAGAGGAGGATCCAGGGAACTGGTCAGATCCAGGGAACCGGACATATCCAAAAAATAATTGATTGAAACCAGCAGAGGAGGTATATCCAGAGAACTGGATGAAACCAGTAAGGACTTTAGGCTGGACAGAACCAGCAAAGGAAAGGGGCCATGGAACTGGACGGGACCACTAGGACAATAAAATCTATGTCTTGCACACTGTTTTATGGTGCCATTTTAAACAGTATGGCTGGGAAAAACTAATCCGAAACTGAGGACATCCTTCTCTCCAGTGTGAATTCTCATGTGAAGTTTAAGCTTTTGTTTGTTGTGAAATTTTTCCCACACTCAGAGCAGGTTTAAGGCTTCCCTCCAGTGTGAATTCTCATGTGACTCTCAAGGCCTTTTTTCGTTGTGAAACTCTTTATACAATGAAGGCAGAAGAAAGGCTTCTCTCCAGAGTGAGTTCTCATGTGATATTTAAGGTTTTGTTTTTGTGTAAAACCCTTCTCACACTCAGAGCAGGTGAAAGGCTTCTCTCCAGTGTGAATTCTCATGTGACTCTCAAGGCCTTTTTTCGTTGTGAAACTCTTTACACAATGAAGGCAGAAGAAAGGCTTCTCTCCAGAGTGAGTTCTCATGTGATTTTTAAAGTTTTCTTGTTTTGTAAAACCCTTCTCACACTCAGAGCAGGTGAAAGGCTTCTCTCCAGAGTGAGTTCTCATGTGATTTTTAAGGTTTTCTTGTTGGGTAAAACACTTCTCACACTCAGAGCAGGTGAAAGGCTTCTCTCCAGTGTGAATTCTCATGTGATTCTCAAGGGTTATTTTCTGTGTAAAACTCATTCCACAGTGAAAGCAGTAAAAAGGCTTCTCTCCAGTGTGAATTCTCATGTGAGTTTTAAGCTGTCCTTGTTGTGTGAAACTCTTTCCACACTGAGAGCAGGTGAAAGGCTTCTCTCCAGTGTGAATTCTCATGTGTCTCTTAAGGTTTGCTTGGTGTCTGAAACTCTTTCCACACTGAGAGCAGGCGAAAGGTTTCTCTCCAGTGTGAATTCTCATGTGGCTCTCAAGGCTTGCTTTGTCTCTGAAACTGTTTCCACACTGAGAACAGGTGAAAGGCTTCTCTCCAGTGTGCATTTTCATGTGAATCTTAAGGTTTCTTTTCTCAACGAAACCGTTTCCACACTGAGAACAGGTGAAAGGCTTCTCTCCAGTGTGCATTTTCATGTGCCTCTTCAGTCCTTTTTTCTCCGTAAAACTCTTTACACACTGAGAGCAAGCAAAAGGCTTCTCTCCAGTGTGAATTGTCATGTGTTTCTTAAGGTTTTGTTTCATTGTGAAACTCTTTTTTTGAATTACTTTTAGAGCAGGTGAAAGGCTTTTCTTCAGAGTTAATTCTCATGTGCTGCTTAAGGTTAGCTTGTTCAATTAAACATCCCCCGTTGATGGCAAGTGACAATCTTCTTTCAGTTCCTTCCCATCTAAAATGAACATCAAAAGACCAATGTCAAAAATCAATTCAAAGACAATAAAGGTGAGATAGCCAAATTTGTTTATGCACCCCAATGACAGACTGCAATCTTTGCCATACTAAATTAAATCTAGATTAATACTATATTAAATCTCAATATAGTAACATTCTCATGTTACTGCCATCAAATCTGGTATACCTTTTAAGCCTCGTTCAAACTTACAGGCCCCTTTTTGTGTATATCCGATCATATTTAACAAGTGTGAACGTCAAAAAACAAACAAAAAACGAATTCTTACGAATCTGTTTTGAGCTACAATTATATGTGGTTTGAAATCCTATTCAGATCGCATTTCTGCATATCCGTTTCAGTCTGACTGCTCGCTCCGATCGTACTCGCATGGTTTATGTCACTTTCTCACACACACACAATGTAAATATGTAAGACGACGTATAGTATAGGAAACTTGCTGAATGCTGCTGAAGAAACAAAGTTGTGTTGTTGCAAAGTTCCGGAGGAGCAGAAAATTACAACATAATATATACATGTTTTGAGACCAGCGGAGACGACAGCATGGAATAAAGCAGTGTTTTAAATAAGACAACATTTGTATTGCAACCCCCTCTAAGTTGCTGTTGTTGTTGTTCGCGGACGCCTAACGCAACGTCATTCCCATAAAAAACAATTAGAGATCGACTGATATTGATTTTCATAACCAATACCGATTATTTACATGTTTATGTCCCCAATACCCGATATACAGAACCGATATTTATTTATTGTTTTATTTCTGGTTTTGACAATAAAAAAACAGCACCGAACTGAACAAACTGTTAATGTAAATTCTGTAATTTCAACTATGTAATGCGAAACGTTTACTTGCGTTGCTAGACGCTATGGAGAAAACTCCTTTTCTCAGAATTTTGAAGACTTGATTTAACAAAAAACAAAATAAAGTTGGGTTGGGGACCGGGACCCCAACAGGCCCTTCGCCAGCGAGCAGCACCGTTCTTCCCTGAGGTTCACAACAAACTCACCATGTCGCGGCACGCCCCCTACTCGTCCCGCCTACGCATTTCTACATTCACCGCTCTCACTACCATTGACGGCGCCGTGGGAAAAGGCTAGGAGCAGTGGCCCAAATGCAGCGAGCTGTCTCCCGAAATGATTCAGCCCCCAGCCACCCAGACCGAGGCTTGGAAAGCCATCCCGGGTGTTTTAAAATGGGTACTAAGCACGGTGACACAAGGTTACTCGCTCCAATTCGCTCGCTGACTGTCCCGCTTCGCGGTCAAAGTCAATACTCCAGTGAAGAGCAACAAGGCACAGTTCCTCCACCCCACAGCGAGTCAGGCTTCTACAGCCGTTACTTCCACGTTCCCAAGAAGGATGGTGGCCTAAGGTCCATCCTAGATCTCAGACATCTGAACTGGTTTGGTTGTTCTCAGTGGATCTGAAAGATGCATACTTTCATATGCAGATAGCCCCCCATCACAGACCGTTCTTAAGGTTTGTGTTCGAAGGGGTGGCCTACCAGTATACGGTCCTGCCGTTCGGACTGTTCCTGGCCCAACGCACTTTTACGAAGTGCATGTATGCAGCACTTTCCCCCTGAGACAGAAGGGGATGGGTCTCCTGAACTACTGTACCTCAACGTCTGGCTCCTCTTGGCCCAGTTGGAGGAAGAATTAATTTCACACAGATCTGTGCTTCTCAGCCATTTGAAATACTATGACTCAGATTAAATTCAGCCAAGAGCTCCCAGCTAGAGGTCTTCACGGGTCCACTTGGATCCGAAAACCCGAGGTCCGACCCGAGACCCGAGCAGGTTCGGGTCCAAAACTCCGACGAGTGTCTCGGACACGGGTCGGGTTCGGTATTAGTGGCCTCGGGTCTCGGGTAATTTAAAATAAATATGCCTTTTCCAAATGGACCCGAGAAGACCCGAATTCTTTTAAACTATGTTGGGCATTTAACAAAATTGCAGTATTTAAAACAACTCTATGACATCGTTCTCTCACTTTTTCTAAGTGAGAAAGCGAATCCGCGCTTCTACGTGCAAATGGGCTATAAGCATAAGCACGGTTGCCTCCGCATGCATTTATTTACTCAGTTGCTCGCTCCACATAAACCAACCCCTCCCTTTGCCAAGAAGAACTAGTGCGCCATCATGTGGATGGATGTTTGACAAAATGCAAGTATTTGAATTGTCGTTAAGCCAGGCCTGTCAATCAATTTTAAAAATACGCGACACTGTCAGAAAAGCATGGAGGTGATAACAGACATTGCGAAAAATGTGAGGGAAAACGAATGGTGGTTCTAATCATCGTATGGTCCGGTAAATAACATTATGCCCAATTTTATAGGACGTAATGGGTTACAGTGATGTGTGATTGACATTTTAGCACTTCAGCGCGCTTACACTTGCGCGTCTATGTTAAGTGCATTTTTGAGAAACGCAGGGCTGCAGGCTGTGCACAATGTAAATGCCGTTTACGTTCGGGTCCAGTCGGGTTCTAAAGGAAATGGCGTCAGGTCGGGTCTAATTTTATCGGGTCTGTCTCGGGTCGGGTTTTTCTTTAAAAAAAAATAATTTATGCACGTCGGGTTCGGGTAAGTAGTGATTCGGGTCGGGTACAGTTTTTAGGACCCGAGAAGACCTCTACTCCCAGCCAGAAAATCTCTTTTCCTGGGAGCAGTTCTAGACTCAGCCCAAATGCTAACCCACGAGTGAGCTTAGACAGTTCAGCGGCTCGCCACGTCTTTTTAACTTTTCAGAGGATGCTAGGCCTCATGGCTTCTGCATCGCCAGTACGTACGTTGGGCCTGATACACATGCGCCCCCTCCAGTACTGGCTGAAACCCCAGGTTAGAGACCTGCACTGCAACAGTGTGCGGTGTGGGGACTAGATTTGATGGCTAAGTGCGGGCGTGGATGGTAAGGTATTTGTGTACAACATGGTGGTAGTGTCCTAAATGGTGGGACTCCACCAGGCTGGACTCAGGTCATAGAGTTAATGTATGGGGAAAATCCACGTGGAACACTGTATAAAAGAAGGTGCAGAAATTGCAGACCAACAAGGTTTATTAACTTTTGTTAATAAAGTCTATATTCTGCCATCAAAACCAAGACTTTAATACCTATTTTTGGGAGCACTTTTTCCAATGAGAACACCTTGTTGATTTGTCAAAAAGGGGCCCAATTTACTTGAGTTCAATCCAATTTCAGTAAATTATTCATTTTAAAGCTGCAGTCCGTAGCTTTTCCTCTTTGTCGCCATCTCTGTTTGAAGTCTACAATTGCAGTCATTCGCGGAATTATTAATTTTACGTGAGTTGTACATCGGCATGAAACAGCGCGGATGAACACAATGTTGTGAGGAGAGTGCGCGTCGCGGCTGTCGGTCACAGCGCCGGTGTGGATACTGGCATTCAGAATCACACATTCTACTTTTTGGAAGTACAGGATGACCAACATAAGAATTTTCACTGGAAAATGTACTCTGAACAAGTAAGTAACATTCACTTTTGTTCAGATCAACTACGGGGAAAATGCATTGATTGCACTGCAGTAAATCGCGCTGATTAAATCTAACGATCGCTTATGTCGAACCGTGCAAATTATACTTTGTGCTCAAATTGTTAATGTTAACAACATCAGCTTTGCGTGACTACATTTAATGTGTTTTATGGTTACCTGTAGTTCAGAATTCATATTCTCCATAATAGCTAAACGAGAAAGGCACAACAAAGGAAACTCCATAACTGTGTGAATTAAGCAAACAATTGTGGTACTGTTACACGATTGAACTATTGAAATGTCTTACTTGTCCAGCAGAAAAAAGCGTCTCTTCTTCCGTTTTGAACCCCTTCAAAACACGGAGTTCACGCACCAAACGCCCTGCCTATGTTCCTTGTGTTCACATGAGACGGTTGCTGTCTTTCTCTAGCCACTTTAAATCCAAAGTACGAAGTCTTTTGGGTTTTATAACTGGTGAATCTCCAGTTGACACTGAGGATTGTCGTTTGGATCTTTCTGGATCCGCCATAAGTTCAATTATGTAAAGTGCTGCGAGAAAAGGCATCTCTACTCTCCCCACCGTCAACATCGTCACGCGCAGTATAGCCGGATAGCCGAAACTCCTTCTTTATGTGTACAGATGTGACGTAATGACGCAAAGACATGCTCGAATTTCCCGCGGAAATCCACCAGTACCACTGGAAATAAAATCATTATTACAAGCTAACCGTTTTGAATCGAGCTACGGCAAGCAGATAGTTTTGAACACTGGCTGAATATGTTTTTTTTTAAATAATTATTTTGGATTATTTTTAACTTGTTAAAAAGTTACGGACAGCAGCTTTAACAAAAATAATGAATTATTTCAGTTAGGAAATAATCTAAAAATCACCTTTTCCAAGGGAACGGAACTCTAGTTAGATTTAAAGTATAGCAGGTCTGACAAATCCCCAACTATTGCAGACATTTGAACATCTGCGATCAAACTTGATGTTGAGCACGCAAAATTTCTATCGACATTGCAACGGACAAGATATGACATAATGCTTGGCGCCATCTTTTTTTAAAACATAAATTAAACACATAACATGTAGCAATAAATTCAAAATGTAAAGAAATACAATCTACTCCACTTTCCCTCAATGCAGTGTTCTTTTAATTCAGCTAAGAGATCATGCCGTATCGATCTTGTATTGGCCGCACGTCTTCACGTCACACGAATTCACAGGTCAGAGTTCACCAATCTAAATTTATTCACATGAGCTTGTGCTTTTGGTCTCCAGCATTCACATGTGTATGAATGGAAGTCAATGGAAGGAAAAGTCTCCTTAACCACCTCTCTG